TTATAGTGTTCTACAAATCACCATGGATGACATAACAGCCTCTGCTTTTTTATTTATGGCTGGTGCATACAATGAACTTAGAAGAAAAAGAAGAAAACTACCTAGGTAGTGGATAAGAAGTTTTTTTTTTGCTAAAAGAGCATTGGAAGGCGCATTAATCAATTGATGAGAGATTTGCGCGTACAAAGTGGCTTCAAAAATTTCCTCCAATGGACTCAACGAAATTTGAGGTTATGATTACCTGTCATTTATGAGCATGCGGTAGTTTGGAGGACCTGCGCATGCGCGAGTTGCAGGCACATGTGCCCGGCTGTTTCCATTCCAACACACACAGTTTGGGCACATGTGCCCGCGACTCAGGCTCATGTTTTGTCGCGCAGTCGGGGGGCACAAATTTGTGCCGCGACTTGAGCCAGGATGTTTCCATTCCTACAAGTTCGGAGATTTGTGCCGGCACAAATTTGTAGGAATGGAAACGTAGCTTAAGATCCTTTAAGATTGGCCGGCAATGATCCAAATGCCGAACAGCTGTAATAATCCTAAAGGTTCTGGACAGCATCGTTGTATCATCTGCAAATAATGATGTTTTCCCATTCAGATTAAGGCAGGATTTTGTATAGGTTAGGCCTAACTTATACCCTTAACCTCATTGACGGGTAGGGCAGTCAAATTCGAAACAAAAATTAAAAGCCGAGTAGGCTAAGTTTATGGAAAGATTTCATTAGCTTAGTGTAGCCTAATGTTTTTAATATCATAAAATAAAAATGTCTTAAAATATTATTAGACTAGCCTAGGCTATTCGTGGGGTTACAGCTCTTTTGCTTGATGCATTGAAATGGATTTGATGAAGTAGAACTACATATTACAACAAGTACTACCCCTGATCTATTGACTAGGCCTATACTTATTATTTATTTTAACGTCTGTGATAGAGCCTATATATTTGATAGGCTATGCATAAAAAATGTGACTGTGATAATATATCGCTATTGATCAAGTAGCCTATATACCGTGAGTTAATGTGTCTCGGACGAGGTCTATAGTAATCAGTGATTATTCAACGACCAATAAAATGGGCCTACTTAATTAAACTTACTTGATGTCTTTAAGATGGTCATGTTATTTTGTTATTAAATTTAGTATCAACTAAGTTTAGGCTTTTCTGCAATAAGTTAGAACAAATACTTGATGACTTTAAGATGGCAAAGTTATTTTGTTAGTAGTATCAATGAATGAATGTATGAATGAATGAATGAATGAATGATGAATGTATGAATGAATCAACTAAGTTTAGACTAACCTAAGTTACATGGTTTATTATCACACATAAAAATGTTTTGTTGGCCGTTTACCTGGCGGTAGGTTAGTTGCGCATTTGCTACCTACAAAATCCGGGTCCTGTAGGGTGGGTTATAATGCAGTAGGTTAGTTGCGCATTGACGCCTTGAACAATAGATCTCTTGAAATTGTAAAGAGCAATGAAGCGAAGGCCTACGAAAAAGCCAGTCTACCGAAATAGGCAAATCATTATGAATTTAATATGTACCATGTAACCTTGTGTAAGTTACATATAGCCATCCACCTGTCACGTGAAGCCACAATATTCAAAGAAAAAATCACACTACTCCAGCTGCTGAGAGTATCAAATACGTATAGGATAGGCCTATGTTATAAAATGCTAAAAACTCAAATGGTAAACTAAAACTGTCAAGATTAATCAGTGTGGCAGATTGCGTGTAATAAATATAAAAACACAATAACAACAATTCACAGGCTCAATTAACAGGATTGCGAAGACTGTAAGTAACCTTTATATTTAAAACTGTCATACCAAAAACTTTATACATTTGTCAGCATCTTATAAAAAATAAAAATATAAAACAAAACTAGCGCACCTGTTGCTCGAAATCGATCAATAGTCTAGTACCGGAAGTTATATTAAAACTAATTAGTCATAATTTGCTATGAGTTTAAAAACCCAACTAAAAGCGTAGTATGCAACTAATGGATAGACTATTTGATGTATCGATTCATTCGGTTAGGTTACTTTACTAACCAAACTTGATATATTGAATGAAATAATCTATTTACCGATCGATATATTTATTCAAATTATAGTGTAGGACGTAAGCTAAAGTGCAGTTTGATTTTATAATAGATATATTTTGAATATCGATTATTAATCAATATTTTCAATTTGATAGTTTCAATCGATATTAGCGAAGCCCAGGAAACGGGTACAGTTTCTTAACTGGGCTATGCTAATATCGATTGAAACTATCGATTCGATTAGTAAACCTTCATGCGATTTTTTTCACCATCAGCAAGTTTGATTGGTTAGGTTAGGTTATGATAGTTTAATTTTATCATAGATATATTTTAAAATATCGATTATTAATCAATATCTCCAATTCGATAGTTCCAATCGATATTAGCATAGCCCAGTTAAGAAACTGTACCCCAGGAGACTGTACCCCTAATTTATTTTATAGGCTACCAGAAGCTAATTTGAATTTGCTTGAAAAGTTATTCTAATGACCATGTCATGTCCATGTCAATAAGTTACACCTTTCAATTTTGTGATGACAAAAATGGTTCTTTAAACTGTAGTAGTTGTAACTTAGGCCTAAATTGAAAATACACACCTAAAATACAAATTTGTATGACAATAACGACAATTGAATGAAATTGACAAACAATAAATTCTCTTACTAGAGCTAGACAAGAAGACAAGAGCGAAGAGCAGCACTAGTGATGTGCGATACGTATCGTATCGTATCGGAATATCGCGATACGCGAGGGACGATACGATATTTGAAAAACGATACGTATCGTATCGCCTAAAACGATATTTGTATTTATATCGGCACATAGAGCGATACGATTCATGCCAAAACGATATTTTTAAGCTTTTTTGCGCAGGCTCTCGCAGGCCGAGCAAACTGAAAAATCTGTATTCTGTGGATGTGTAGTTTGAAATAGGAGTTTTTGTCGTCTCTATTTTTTGTTTTTACTTGATAATGTACCAGTCCCATCCCAGTCCAGTCCATTTCCACTAACGTGCTATCTACTAGTGCAGAGTTTGAGAACTGTCTGTGACAATTACTACATTAATGTATCTGCAATCGCAGAGGATACGCGACCGGTAACCGGACGTGGATTAGGCGTCCGGCAGTTACTGTCATAACCTAACCTAACCAACCAAACTTGCTGATAGTGAAAAAAATCTAATGAAGGTTCAATTCTCTTCATAACATAAAATTATAAATGCCAAAAATTCTAACAAAAGATGTACAGTTAAGAAGAAATTACATTCAAAGCAAAATCTGTGACAAAAAGTTAAAGATACTGATGGGTTTCGAACCGGGGACCTCTCGCATATCAGCCGAGCACTCTATCCACTACACCACGAACACTGATGGCTGAACATCGTATCATTGTGGTAATGGCGTTCCGGGACCCCCTACCGGACGCCTAATCCACGTCTGGTTACCGGACGCCTAATCCTCGTCTGGTTACCGGACGCGTATCCTCTGTGATCTGCAATCCTAAAATGATATCGGAAGGATAGGGAAACATGTCCAAGACGTAGGGAGTTGTAAAGGAAGTAGTAAAGGCGAGCAGCGTGGAGTGTGGAAATGGATTAATGCATCTGCAATACTAAGACTGTTTTCAGAGTAAACTAATGATTTTCCCCGAGCAAAGCTTGGTCCCCAGGTCCTTATATAAATTAGCCGTTTCTAGGTTAGGTAGGGGAGGGGGAAAACGATACGATACGTATCGTTTTTCGATATTTTTGACGATACGATTCGCGTATCGCGATACAGACGCCCGATTCGATACGGCGATACGATATTTTTTTCCGATACGTATCGTATCGCTGTATCGCGATACGCGTCCGTATCGCCCATCACTAAGCAGCAGCAGATCTAGAAGAGAAGAAGAAGAAGAAACGCAGAACAGAACAAGAAACGAAACTAAGGAGGCTGAAATTTGGGTGGAGTAGAGGCATGTAGAGGTAATTCAAAGAAGTCGCGGGAATTTTCAGCAGTGTAGAGGGTAAGCGACCGCACCGCGAAACACGTGACCACGGCGAAGCCACGCCCTTCGCGCAGAAGGGAGGGGCCGGGACCTGGCTGACCGATTTGAGTTGTCGGTACCTACTTGATATGTGATCTAAGTGAATTGGTACTTAGGTGAAAGGTTGCCTAAAAGAAGGCCTCCCATCTATACCCTAAAACCCCCCAACCCAATAGTAGTTTGGTAGTTTTTTTGTTTTTAGCTGTTTAATAAAACATACACCCTTAGTAGATTTATCATCCTTATGTTACCTTATGCGTTTACTTGCACGGCCACCTTCAACTCCAGGCTGCGGGCGGTTTTTGAAATACTATAGTCAGTAGTGATGTTTAACTATATCAATAAATAACACGTGATTAAATGAGAGGGTGCCACCTGTCTGCCATGTTAGCTTATTGGACGACTGGTGCTAAACATCACCACTTGAAACGTTGCCAATTATACTAGGCCGCGGGATCGCGCCACTCATCCTACAGTCATGATGGAGTGACTAATCATGATGGAGTTGTAAATATTAGTTTTATTATAGTAACTTATTTAGAGAAATAAATCAAGTCTTTACATTTTAAAGACATGACGCGACCTATCTGACATTGTCAGTCAAGGATCAAGAATACAAGTATCAAGTATCAAATCTCCATTCTTACTTGGCTTAAAATACCTTCATTCGTATGGTCGCCATTTCAGAATAAAGTAAGTAAGTAGACTAGTAGAGTTAAATGTGGCTGTACTACTTGTGTTGGTAGTATCTGATTTAATCTATGCTTACGGCAGTTGACGTTGACATTGTGCACAGACTGCAGGGGCTGACTGTGGTGTGCTATATGCCTGCCCTTGCACATCTTTTCTGTCCTGTCACTCCTGCCTTTGTTTGTTTATTGTTTATTAGGTTAGGTTTAGTTTAGAGGTTAGTGAGTGACTGAGTTTGAGTTGTTTTGTTGACGTTGTTGTTTTAGTTCGTTGTTTGTTAGTTGCTGTTGCTTTGCTTAAGTCGCTATAACGTCAATTCGAGTTCATGTTCATTTTGAATTTTAATTGAACAATTGAAGTTCCGTACTTCTCGTTCTGATTTTGATCAGTTCGTACGGTAATATGTAATGTAACCTCAAAATCTACAACTTTGTTGAGTGTTTCGTTCAATTGATATATTTCGCCTAAGTGATACATTTCTCATAAACGTTTTCTTCATAAAGAATTTGAGTTAAATTTAATTTATCGTAGCCCTAATATTTGGTTGGTTAGATAAGTTGTTCATACAATGGCAAGTGCATATTCCAATCTTCGTGAATTTAATGGAAAAGTTCTCGAGGTTGCACCGAAATACAAGGCAATCGTGCAATTTACTCTGGACAACAAAACTGAACGAGCACTCTTATGGTATGATAAGTTAAAAGTGGACAGTCAGCCTTTGCCAGAAGGTGGTTCCATCGATGATTTCATCAGCAAGGACACTGTACTGAAGTTTCAGTGCCATAAATTTGATGAAAGTGGAGTTGATAGATGTGGGTGGTATATTACTTGTGCTTGGAAACAGGAAGATAGGGATGTTGCCTTGAAATCAAATGAAACTATTTACAATGGACTCTACAACTGTTCGGGTACAATACAAGAGGTGAAAAAGCGTCAAGGTATTTTGTCTTACAGTATAAATGGTGTGGAGGAAAACATTTTGTTCTTAGCGAGTAAAATGTTTATGTCAGGTAAACGGGTATCTGCAAAAGCAAACCTCAATCAGTTACATGGTATAGAAGAAGGCCGAACAATTATGTTTGATGCAGTTCCATGTGACCCTGCTGACAATGATGGTCGTTGTAAATGGTTTGCTACAGTTGTTTGGAAGGGTCGGAAACCAGTAATGGAGTATGATGATGTTCGCAATGTCCGCAACAAAAAACAAGCATTACCACAGCTATCAGATATCAAATCTATCACTTCTAACCCTCATTCTCTATTTCTTCGAAGCGAAGGTATGGTAATTAGAGCGATAAACTCAGAATATGCCCTTGCATTTGGCTCTATTAAGAAAAATCGATGGGAGCCTGTTTTATTCCATCGCAGTGCAGTCACCTTATTTGATCTTAGCCTCGCAGAAGAAGATCTAACCACTATATTTCAAAAAGGCGATAGGATTTGTTTTGTTGCAGCTGCTACACCTCCGATGATGACCGTTCGCTGGGTAGCATCAAAAGTACGCCCGTGTATCGATCCAAGTGTTGCATACAAATTTCAGTTCTAAGCTTACATTATGTGTCTCGTCTTAACTTACATTCGAAAGTCATCTTGTTATTGGAAGTGTATACTAACTTAAAATGACCATGGATAACCATAGGGGATGTCACTGCAGTGCTTTTTTTTTTGCCTTTTTAACTTAGGCTTTCACAAAGCTGGATTTTTGAAGAGAAATAATTGTTGTTCACCTAGAAGTCAAACACCTAAAACTTGTATGGTGGAAAGAATAGGAATTAAATAATTATTACGGTATAAACTTATTAGGCAATCAACTAAGTTGGGATAGGCTTACCTGTTGAGAGTACCTCAAAGTACCTAACTTGCTTTTTCCAAAATGTTTAAAGGTTAATTATTTTACCTTTTTAACTAAAATAATTCTTGATAAGATGTCTCATTTAACTTAATCATTTTATTTTTGGATTTGTCAATAAATTTCATTTACTGTAACTAGCGTCTCGAGATAGTTTTGAGCTAGGTCTCTCAACAGGGTTAAATTATAACATTTTGTCACAATTATGGTAGCGTAAGTTTAATTGTTGAAGTAATTTGTCAATTAAAATATGTACTTAGTGTACAGTTGATAGCTTATGAATTGAAAATCTTTTTTACATGGCACACTAAATTAGAGCACATTTGTTAGGTTTATCCCAAAATATTGTATTTTTTATTACAACTATCATTAGGCCTAAGCTATAGACTTTTTGTTCTGTCAGGCTCTATAATTTAAATTCAGGACTTTTATTTTTGTAAAAGAAGTCAATGGGTGATTGATTAGACTTATATTCAATAACTTCCTGTAATAAATAACAAATAGGCCTGTGTAAGTTAATTGTCATTGTATGAAATAAAACTTAAACGTACATTCAGATGCTTTAATTTCATTTATTCCAATTAGTGCTTAAGTCAAGGAGTAGTACAGAATTTTACATAGACTAAATGGATTTTGTTATAGTATATTTCATAACAAGAGTAGAAAGTGAGTCTAAATTGAGCACTTTAATGGTCCAGAATATGTATGTATAGACCCACTTTCACTTGTGTTTTGAACGTTAATTTTCGCTACACTACAAAGACTAGGCTAATTAATTTCTTAGTTAAAACATACCTCGGATATTTCTTTATTTCAGCTAGGAACATTACAAAACACATTTTTAGTTTATGCCTTCAATTTACAATTACTGTATTTGTTTTATTTTGGTTGTTAAAATATGATACAGTTGACAAAACAATAGGCCTAACAAATCTTTGATGTTTGTTTACGCCGGCAAAATCCAAAATATAGTACGATACTTTTGTAAGCTAGTAAACATTCTTTTTCCGTACTAAACAATCTATTGATCAATTTTCGCAGGTGGCAAACATGTAATGGAAACAGGTCATTTCGCAGTAGGCTAGTGTAGCGAAATAGTTATTTGTGCAACTAGTGAGAAAAGTGAGCAATTGACTCACTCGAGAAAAATCCTTACTCACGAGCCGTAGGCGAGTGAGGAATGGTTTCTCGAGTGAGGCAATTGTACTTTGAACTCGAGTTGCACATTATACTTTTCCTACAGTTACCATAAAACAAATAAATTGGTGAAGAAACATAACCTATTTTTACACAGAAGTGAACTTTTAATATAACACTTAATGTGAAGTGACAAATACAACAGTACCAGCTGATCAGCTGATTTACAGCCAGTGCTGCCAACGTATTTCGCATGCATACGACGTTGCCTGCATGTTACGCGCTCACTATTTCGTGCCTTCATGTTGCAAATCTGGAGTGAGACAAAGTAATTAGAGTGAGACAATGTTAACATTGTCTCACTGATGAGCGAATTGGCCACTTTGCTTTCTCAAATCAGTGAGAGAACATGTACATTGTTAGGTAACTGTAGGAAAATGTAATTTAAACTTTTCCTGATAAGGGCTCTACTTTCAAACAAAGTCCGTTATAGGTACTTAACTTACCACACATTTATACTTTTAACAATTACTTTTGTATTTAGGCTTATTAGCCTACCTATGTTATTTTTTTATGGAGCAGCCCCCTTAAAAGACCTTTACAGCAATTACTGCAACTATATTTCCGTGTGAACCATATGAACTTTCTTGGTTTTCGGCCATAAACAATGGCTGAGATAAGAGTTTAATGTAAAGTTTATAATGGTTTAAATACCTGCATTCAGTAATCCATTATGCTGCATTAAGCAGCATAATGGATTACTGAATGCAGGTATTTGAACCATTATAAATATTCAAACGTAATCCGGAGGCTAACAACTCTTAAAAATTTAATGTAAAGGATGCTTTAATCAAAATTATCATGAGTGGTACCCAAAGTGCTGATTAAACCTACAGTCATGACACACTTTCTCCTTCTCTACATTCCACATACTCTACACAAGCAAATACATATGAAAACGTCAAAAAATGGTGACTGATATATACTCATTTGAAAATAGCTTGAGAAATAGGAATGAATCAACAAGTTTTTTAGGACCACTTTTTGTAAGGTGAGCCCAAAAAAGCTACTTGGGGTTAATGAAAACAAACGAGATTTTTTGGACCATAGATCACAACTAATACCGGATACAAGTAGGCTATGAAAAATTTATTTTAGTAAAATACCAATTTGGTAACTATGTTCAATAGGCAGGCTAATATAATTTAAGAAAGCATTATAATGTACGTCTATGAAAAACTTATCGAGTGAATGGGTGTGAAATTAATATGAAAGAAAACATAGTAGTGAGGAAAATGTTTCATTATTTATTCATGTATTTCACTAAAATCTATCACCCCGCAAAGCTTTTCTTGCATCCCTAGAGTCGTCTGTAAATGTTTTGCCGCACCTGCAAAATTTTAAACAGTGAATTAAAATTGTGAATAAAATAATTATTATGGATAGTTAAATTTACATCCTGTCTTCAAAGGTCCAGCAAAGTACCGGCTTTGTGTATACAAAAAGTATTTGTGTTTACGGATCATAAAGTACAGTTACCGTAGTGAGAACAGTGATAATTAGGCTATACAGTAGAATCCCGCAAACTCGGCACTCGATTACCCGGCAGTCTGGATAACTCGGCCATCACCTGGCTCAGAAAGTTAGTGATTTTTTGAGTCCGAGTTAAGCTGGATTCAAGTCAGCTTTAGTCAAATTATTCGTAACTGGTACTAAGGATTTGTTGTACTATATCTGATGACTTAATACTGATTTAAAATATAAATATAAATAAAAAAAGTTGGTTAAAAAGCTAAATTTGTCTGATTTTGATTTTTAACCCTATTTCCCGATAACCCGACATTTCACAAACTCGACACCCTTCCAGTCCACATTACGCCGAGTTTGCGGGACTCTACTGTATAAACATTTCTAAGGGGGTAATTACGCTACTACAAAAATATTGATTGCAATTTAAAAACAAAATTTGGATGTTTATTTTTTTTTTATTGGAGGTCAAATAGATGTAAATTAGCAACAAGAGTAGTAGGCCTATATGAAAATAATTATTTTGAAAGGATTTTTACTAGGTCTATGTATTGCACATACACTTATTGTCGGGACCACGTAAATTTGCAGTTGAGGGAGGAACCTATTTGCCATACGATTTTGAATGAACCAATGAGATCCGTGCGGTGTTGCCAAATCTAATAATACCAGCTGATTTGAAATATTGCATAGTATATTTTAATAGTGTTGTCAACGGGTGATGTGGCAACGTTGCACTAGCCTTGTCTTGTGATTGGCTGCCACCAACTGCAAACTTACGTGGTCCCGACAATAATTTTTCTAACTTAAGGAGCGGCTTAGTATGAATAGTTGTATCGAGAATGGTTTTACAGACTTTTTACAGTCAAAAAATTTTGCATACTTATTAAGAGTCATATGCAACTGCACATGCACACTTTAAACATATCTTTGTTCATCTCAATACAAAACAAAACAGTTTGACCAAGGATTGAATACGATGGATAGCTTAATGTTTCTCAAACAAACCTAAACATGGATCCGGGCACATGTGCAGTGTATCCGGGCAGTAGTCCCATGTGTTTGTTGTATATCTCCCCCGGAACATCGTAGATGGGAGGGTCTGGACGGGATATCCCGGCAGGTGCCCATTCTGGACTCATACGACGACGGTAGTTAGATGAGAAGTCATGTATGACTGAGTTTGTATATTTTTGATGGCCTCCATATTTGCTGTACCCGTAGGGAAGTTCATCTGAAATTATCAAGGTGTCCATAGTTTACAGCTGTTCAACTTTAAGAAGGGGTCTTTTGATCTTGGAAAAGACTGGATTTATTTTTAGTAGATTCATACAACACCTGAGTTTTTAATTTCATCAAAATCCGACCACGTAGTCTGTAGCTCTGTACAGATAAACACACACAGACATGATTCCCAAACAATTTTTTCAGGGGGCTCAAAATCTATTTTTCCACTTGCGCTCAAAATGTTTATGAAAACAATACTTTCTCCATATTACTTCGCCTAAGGGGATAAAGTAAAATATTTAAAGTCATTTTATGTATCAACACTTACCACAGTTACGAGCAGGTGATGGAGTTTTTTGGGTAGTTTCATTTCCTCCTAGTCCAAATGTTGCTTCTTGAGTCTCCTGTAATGAAAAATAACTGTTTACTTGGATGCCAAGTTTCAAATAGACCTAAAGTGTGCACAGGTTTTTGATATCTTGTTTTTGAATTACATGCAGATTTATATAAGTTAGGCTAGTTTTATTATCAATTACCGAGCTTTTCAATTTCTAGTGAGTTTATTCAATGGGAGCATTTATGCACAGCAGCAAAAAATAGTATCAATTGTACACACAACACGGCGTTCTCTAAATACTAGTGGCAGTTTTAGGAAACGCTGCTGCAAAAAGTGTCGATAGTTCCCTCAAAATACAGTAAACGGGTGTGCTTATAAATGGGTGCAGTTGTATTTTGAATATTCATACGCTCCCCATAAATATAAGCGCACTTCATTGTACAGTAATAATATTGGTATCATAAATCACACAATAATATATTGCCTGCTCGATATTATTTGTGTAACAAATTAAATAGGTCACTTGTTGGATGGAATGGAAACATTCCTCACTGACATCTAAATCTTTTTATGAGATCTTATTCAGACCAACACATTTTTTTACAAGTTTTTTTCCCAAATCAACTTTTAGAACAAATACAATTTTTCAGGGCCCATATTTCAACTTATAAAACTACACAGTCAATTAAACAATATTTCCATCACTTCTAGATCAGAACCTCAACACTGAGCTCTTTATTTCCTCCTGTGATTTCAAGCGGCAAAAGTCACTGCCGTGTGACTAAATCGGTCAGACAAGCAGCGACTGCCAGACTGCCACCGTGCAGAAAGCCAGCCTAATCAAGAGTTCTTTAGATTCTTACCCTAACTATCCCCCTCTCCCGAACCAGCTGTTGTTGTAGTCGTAAGTGAGATGGAGATAGAGCAGTGAACTCGAACCTCTGACCTCGCGCTCCTCTCAATGCATCTATAAAAGCTAAAATCACAGAAAAACCACAATTTGAATTTTTATAGTACAATTTAATACACAAACTTGTTAATGATTGGTTATTTAAAAGTTCGTTGTTGTATTTGTGAGTTTGAGTGTATACAATTAACTTTGTTATTTAAGTTGTCAGTAAAAAGTTAACGTCTAACATACAGAGAAGTAAGATACAGAGAATACATTCAATAGTAGGCTACACTTAAGTGTTGTCTAGCACCAGTTACTGTTGTCTAGAGCAAATTCTATTTCTCATCTCCCTCCGCTCTCCTTTCCCCCCTCGCCATAACGTACTACAACGATCACGCTGTAGGAAGACCCTGTGCACTACAACCGCTGTACAATAATGCTATGTAGCCATCACCGTTTGGGCTCTTCCTTGCTCGGTACAAGTACATTCCCGCCCCAATATACCAGAGCTAAAAGCGCACGGTAGTCCCATAAGCTTTTATCTTTGGTATCTTACTTCTCTGTGCATTATGTTTGCATATTGTGTTTCAGTATGCTATGCTCTCTTATGGACAAAAAATGATAAGACCATGAACTTAATACAGTAGAACCTTGATAACAAGACTATCATGGGGATTATAAAATAAGTCTGGTTATCAAGGTTGACTTCTTATTGAGGTTTGCAATAACATGTGTTTAGAGATAAAATAAATTTAAGGGGATTTGAAGAGTACACTTGTTATCAAGAGTGACTTGTTATCGAGGGTCTTCTTATCAAGGTTCCACTGTAGTACCATTGACTTTTGGATACTGAATTAGTTATTTTTATTTTTATATGGACCAGCCGTAGCCCCAATTTATTAAAAAGGAATGCCAGTTCAATGAGCCAATCACAAAGAGTGCTACATAATTAAATTTTAACCCTTGGTTTTTAATACAGTTAGTCTATGTGACAAAAAAGATACTACAGTTTACAATAAGTCGCTCTATCGATTTGACTTAGTTAAAAAGTTGGCGTTTTCAACCCAAATCAATTATTTACATAAGCACATTGTAGGTAATTTACAATGTTCACTTTGATTTTAAAAACTGCTGGTACCTACTTTAACATGGGGATAGAATGTCTGGACCCACCCTTCTAAAATTATATCAATTCATACCACTCCTAACTTAAACCTTTGATACAACTTTTCGTACAACAACCTTTTTACAACCTTTCGTACAACTTTATTCATTTTAAAGGGATTTTAGCAATGTTATAAGTATTAGTGGTGGATTTCCCAGTCAAAATAGTGTAATTTTGAAGTTTATTAAGCTTCTTAACCTTACTACATCTAAGCGTTCGTTGCAGAATGCACACTAACAGAAGTCGCAAAGAACGTCAACCAAATATAGCCAGTTATTGGTTGTGTTGAGAAACAGAATCATGATTTCTTCCGTTTGAGAAGATATCTTAGGTCATCTATCAATATATTTTTAATTATTGATCTAAAATCTACTATAATATCATACTGTCAAAGCCGGGAACCATCGGACGATGTCTAATAGGTTTATTCACATAGGGGAATCCTTCTACTCTTTCCTCCAAGCAATCCTGAGTCCTTATCACCTGTTAAAACAATCTAGGAATCAGTAAACTATTCATCTTCGTGTTTAATAAATTACTATAGTATACAAATTTGAAAAATTCAGTCCATGATGATGGAATACAGAAAACAATATTTTGTTAACTCGAATATTTCTTGTTTTAGTGAAGTTTCCATATGACGAATAAGTTATTACCTTAGGTCTTAAAGACCTAAACCCATTTACTTTTCGTTTTGAGGTCCCCAGAGGCCGAAAACACCATTGGTTCAAATTCATATGTATACAAGTGTGTGTATCAGTATACGTCCAGCAAAAATCATTCGATTTTGATGAAATTTGGTACAAACGTTTACTTTAAACCCACGTTTATTCCAACAAGTTCGCAAACCAGCATGATCGGACCATGGCAAAAATGGTTTTATGGGGTAAAAATTGTTTTTTTTTTCAAATTTTTGACCCCCTAAACAACTTATTCTTTTATACTCCCATGAATTGTAAAAGTGGATAACGTTTCAGAAGATGGTTAGTAGTAAATAGTTCTTACCTGGGTGTCATCAAATTCTCGTGTTGAAACTATGACTTCACTCTCCTTATTAATACAAGAATCCACCAATGTGAGATTAGCTCTAGTAGCGTAAGTATCACCAATACGATACTTTAGCTGTGGTTTGAGGTATTTTTCTCTGAAAAAAATTAAAATAAATTAAACAATTGGTTTATTATTTAGAAATTTATACTGTATGATCTAAAAATAAACTTTACCCATGCATGTTATCACCAAAGTAAAACATAAATGTGACAGTTTAAGTTTGACTAAGGGAAACTTTTTAAGCAACATTAACTAAACTGTCCTTCTACAAGGAGCTAGTCTATTGCTAAGCACTTCATACTACTCACTATGGACAACCTACATTATATTTTTTAGCAGAATACCATCCCACTACTTCAATTACAATTGCACGCTTGAACCTAATTTACCAATTGTACAGTTAGTTCTTACATAATATTTGAAAAATCTGTTATCTCTTAAAATCTTTATTCATGTGCCATTTTGTTTTACTGACCACTTACTTACTTTGGCTTTTGATAAGTGGAAGAAGTCAATGTATCGCCATGAGGTAGCTGGAAAAGATTACATAGTTAGTCTTCTTATTAAAGTAAGATTGTACATCTAGGGTCTTTTAGAACACTTTTTTGTTGTTTTAGCGAATTTCCCATATAGGGAATATTAGCGAATTTCCCATATAGGGAATAAGCTATTACCGTAGTACTCATGGTAAGACCTGGACGCGGGACCGATTTTTTTTTCGTTTTGAGGTCCCTAGAGGCCAAAAACACCATCCGTTCAAATTCATATATATATATATATATATTTATATATATATATATGTGTCCGTTAGCACGATAACTTGAGCAAAAATGATCCGATTTTGATGAAATTTGGTACAAACGTGTAAACCTACGTTTATTCGAACGAGTTCGCAATCCAGCATGATCGGAGCATGGGAACGGGGGTTTACGGGGGGTTTTATGGGGTAAAAATAGGTTTTTCCTATTTTTTACCCAAAAAACATAAAATTTAGCAATTTCTTTTCAAACCATTTTGTAGAGCTTAAAAAAACAAATAATTTAGTATATTGAAGCGTTATTATGCGCCTAATGGTTACGGAGAAAATTCCAAAAAATTGTAAATTTAAAATTCCAATGTTATTCTTATGGAGAATAAGTAAACTGTTGTAGTTTGCTTGTTTATGAACATATTTTGATCAAATTTGAAAAATATTTTTATTTCTTACTAACTATTAACATTTTACAAAAAAAGAACAGTTTTACCCTCCCTGATGCAGCAAACCTAAGTACTTGTTAAACTAATTCTATTTAAATAGGGAATAAATGTTATATTTTTAAGTAGACATTTCAGTGTAAATCCAATCTGTCAAATGGAAATTCGCTTAGTCTGCAGGTTTGCTGCGGCGGGGGTATTTTTTTTTTCTTGCTAAACGAAATAATATACCATGCTGTATGCAAACAGTCCCCTTGAACAAAAAAAAGTTCTTATCAAAGTGATGTCCATGTGTATGGATGTGTACAGACATATAGACTACTCCTGTGGTCTGATTTTGATTAAATTTGGTGTGTGGGGGTATTCATGGTATTTTTAGCCTTAACTTATTTTTATTTTTTTGGAAATTTTTATTTTTAATTGCGCTTTTCCCATTAAAGATTTATGGTAGCGGAACAGTTGGATTTGTTTTCACAAAATTGGCTAGAACGACGCAAACTGTACAAACCCCAATGCTTAAAAATTACAGTCCATAAGACATTGCAATTTTTGTGATTTTAACCAATAAAACAGCATAGGCCTAGCATTTATTTACTCCTACTGCTTAAGGCCTGTTCACACCGGCGTAGCCAGACGTCTACAGACGTATTCGGTGTATTAATACGTCGCCAGTGTACTGTTCACACCGCAGCTACGTCTGACGGCTACGTAGCCGGTGAGCCGGCTGTCGTTTGTTTATTTTATTATATTATTTTATATTTGTTAATTTATTGTTTATTTTTATTAGTGTTTCACGAATTTCAGTTAAAATTGACGGTTCAATTGCAGCTTTTAGTACCGTGAAAAGTCTGTTGATTAATGTGTTAATGTTGACAAAATATTTCACTCTAATTTTAGGCCGTATATAGTAGACTATAAGATTTGCTCTATATTATAATATAAAAAATATTACCAGAGAACATGCAATAATTTTGCTCATCCATAGGGATTACATAATAAAATAGTCTTTGGTGTAAGTAAGACGTAGGCCTATAGAAATAATTCATTAATGTTTCATAAATGTGAGCCCACTATATGAACCGTGATAAACCATATTAAAAGAGAGAGAGATTTTTTTGATAAGGAGATTTGCAAGCATAAACAAAAAAATGTTGTGGACATTGGTTACTCGTATAATGAAGTATTATTATATTGATTATCTAAAGTTGTCTTAAGATTGTTATGTTATAGTCTAATTTGAATGTAATAGATTAATGCGATTTAATTATTTTTAAGTGATAGTAAATTTGTATGGTTTAGTCCAACATTTACCACGTATAAATTAATTGTGAGGTGTAAGGAGGGTGGTGGTGACAGCCCGGTGTGCTAGTGCGCATGCGCGTATTCGGCTATGCGAGCTATGCGTAGCTAGCCGGCGTAGCGGCAGCGCCGTAGCTTCCGTAGCTCACGTATTAATACGCCGGTGTGAACACTCTCTATGAATTACATTAAGAGCTACGTCAGCTACGTATTTCGAAAAAGTATTAATACGTCTGGCTACGCCGGTGTGAACAGTCCTTTACCCATCATAAAGGATATTGACAAGCTCATGGGAGAAAGTATGTATCAGTTTGCCAATACCGTTTATTTGAATATCTCATTAATCCTAAGCATACAATTTAATTAAAATGATATTATTGTAAAATTCAGTTTGGTACCTCGTTAAAAGTATTGTTGAGATTATGCGCGTTAGGCTCATCATGGGTATAACCGTTTGTTGGAACAGCTGCAGAGTCATTAGCTGATGTTTCACTCCTATAAAATAATTTGGCATTTTAATCATGTTGTATCATCCAACAGATAAGACTATTAAAAGTTGTACCTTAAGGATGAAATGGGTTGGGGCATTAGGTTAGAGTGAAGAAAGGTTTTATCATGAATGTACATTGTTTTCAACTGTTTTAAATTTATATTAAGGGCTTGGATAAAAAGAAGATAAAACAAAACCTGAACAAAACACTTTTTGTAAGCAGCCTCTGTAAATCTTGCATTTCCTTTATTGGATACTAGAGTTTTATCAATAGTCGAAGGTTAAATGTTTTACAAATGTTTAAACACCAAATATAGGTTCATTCAACTATGTTTTCCTTAACTAAAAAAGCTACAGCTTCTCGGGTCGTCTATAAGGGTCCTTTCATTCAAGGCCACTGGTGGAAGGCACCGACTACCGCCCGGGCAAATGCAGTTGATGGTACAGCGCAACTGACAAGCCACTGCCAATAGCCACCGTACAACTAGCTGAGAAAATGCTAGTTTTAACGTTTTGCCACGAATTTCGTTTTTCTATTTGACATATTCCTCCTTTGTACTATATCAAATTGCTGGGTGTTTTTCAATCCCGCAAATTAGATCCTCAGTTTTAATTTTGTATTCTATTATTTTGTTCCTTTTATTATGTTCTTCTTTTGCCACAATGCCCTCTTTATTTTTTTTCTACCATTCACTCATTTCTTAACACAAAAGAAGCAGTTTAACACAAATCCACAACTAGCACAAATGCGTCTATTTCTGCATGTGAACTGACTGTTTACCCCAAAATAATTTATGCGTGCGGTTCCGCGGTGGCTTTGTCTAAAGGCTGAATGTTATTCATTTTGTAAATTGTTTTTTTTTATTCAGGAAAATATATAGCTCATCCCATGTTGTACTGGTGTAAGTGAAATCACAAAGAAATACATTAATTTATGCTATCCTCTATTGTGTTTTTCTGTTTTCAGAAATTTTCTTAAAAGTAAATATAGTAATGCAAAAAAATATAAAACAATATCAATTTAAATACAAAACTCATCTGCAATTATTTATTCCTTTATTTGAGTAGTTGACCTAAAGAAAATAGCATACATTGCATGAAAAGTATTTTCATAAAGTCAGTAAATTAATTTCCTTACCCACGACTTCCATAGCTAAGCTTGTAGGGACTCAGATTTTCCTAGAAACAAAACATTTAGGTTAAAACAATAATAAATTATAACCTGTATTATAGAAATGAAAGCAACTTCCAATCCAGAAAACAAACAAAAGAAGTCCCCTTAACAAATACATAGTACTTAGCTATTGAAGCTTGACTTAGTATGAAAACTTCTCAAATCTGCACCACAGCTGACAGCCATATTCTTATTGTCCTAAATATTTTTTTTAGTGTCCACCCTTAACATCTTAAGACGCCAGGTTCTACCTGGAACCTTTAGGCCAATAGGATCGTGGGTTACTAAGCCCAATGGTGATTGGCGGGATTAAAACCCGAGACATTAATGACAAAATTGTTCTCTACCACTAGATTAGCTTACTCCCCATTACGCTAAATAGTAACCAAAGCTTGAGTTTACTTAACATATTTTACTTTACAAGATAAACTGTTAAGTTAAATAATTATGATTCTCATAAATAAAATTACCTGTCGGTTGGGATAGCTGTTCACTGAGTACATAAGCTTGTGTGTGTCACTGCCGTATGTTCCGCCAACCTGATATTTCAAACCGGGAACATAACCTGTGTACCTAAAAAAGAACATCAATAAGTTTTTGTAAGTTTCACCTCTACATCCTAGAATTACGTTAGTCTCTAGTCGGTGGCTCTGCTTAATTTAATATTATGTCCATTTTGTTTCAAAACTGACGTAAGCTTTAAAGACTTGGACCAAATGTCCGGTTCTATCAATATTCCCCTTCTGATCAACCTTGAGCTGTCCCACTGTTAATTTTAAGAGGACAACTTCTCACACTAAGCTCTTCTACAGCTCTGGATCACGATTTGCACAACAGAAATGAATGAGACCACTGAGCTAGATACAATTGGAGGTAGCACTGAATGAGAGCTAATTGAGAGGTGGCCACCTTATGTACTAAGAGTAAAGTGCATTGGAACTAGAGGATTGTGGGATTGTAATAGACCCATGAGCCAATGTGCTGGTTGATTCCTCTAGTTGGTACCAGCAGAAGAAAATTTACTTTGTATCTATTTTCTAGCAGAGTTGCTTACCAGTGCACATCCAAATGTATTTCCAACTCAGTGAAAGATGAGACAGGATTCAAAAGCTCAATCTACAAAACATCTCCTGGCTGCATAAACATCTAACACAACTAAACTGATGATCAAATCTAACAGTCTTCTGCGCGAATGACAATGGTTAAAAGAATTTTGTGTTAATAACGGAAAACATTTATAAACATTAAAGTGGCAAAATTAATCCCTTGGGATCAATAAAACTCAAACTTGGAAATGACTGCAGAAATGCACTTTTTGTGTTAAAGGGAGTTTTATAATGTATATCCTACTATCCAAACATATGGTAGCAAGCTAGTCAAGTGATTAGAGCACAGGGCTTCAGAGCCCGAGGTCCCAGGTTCAAATCCTGCCAATCACCAATGGATTTTATCCATGTGATAATGTTGCAATCCCTAGGTCTACCCTAAAGTAATATGTAAAACAGTACCCGGCTAGAACCTAGCGCCCTAGGATGTCCAAAACATAATAATTCTTGTTTTAGATTTGTGATATACTGAATTATAATTGATTGCTTACCCAGGAATACGATAAGGCTGATGCATTGGCTCAGGACAAATGTGATACCCCTGAAACATTGCAACAACATGAACATGTGTACAAGCTTTGCTAGTATATTTTAGATTAGTAAACAAAACATATAAAATACTAAGATATGATTTTTTACACTTGAGAAACAGTATATTAAGAACAAAATAGTTATAACCTACCGAACAGGGCTGGTTAGCTACGTGCCAGCCTAACAATCAAAAGGTTACGGGATCGATCCTGGGAATAATCAGTAGCTTTTTGATGGTTTGAAGTCCATACTGGACCCAGCTGTTCCTGATCATTGGGCTTTACATGAATGATCATGACTAATGAAACAGCTGATCTTAGTCAGTAACAACAGCTGATCTTAGTCAGTAACAACAGCTGATCTTAGTCAGTAACAACAGCTGATCATAGTCAGTAACAATAGCTGTTTCTGATCATTGAAATTTAAATTGATGCCCATGACTAATGAAACAGCTGATCTTAGTAACAAAGCTACTCATAGATCATCTTGCTCTACTCGTCCTTAACTCATATTTCGGTTAAAATATGTACCCCAAATCAAATGATAGTTGATAATATAATTGAACTTGGTTAATTTACGAACAAATTTTTATAAAGATGGTCGATGAAAGTCAAACTTACCCTTCTAGACAACGAGGACTGACCAAGTTTGGAGGCAAGGACGTCATGAGTATCTTGTCCAAACGTGTGACCATTACGTGACTGCACTGTTGGCACATGACCAGTGTAACTGGAAAGTAAAATTAGCATTACTACACTTAAGTACCCTATGTATTTGAACCAAACTATGAGTGAAGGATGAGTGTAAGATGGAACATGATGATCTGTGTAGCTTTGACAAGAAAACCAGCTGTTTCATCAGCCAGGACCATTTATTAAAAGCCCAATGGATCAAGGACAGCTGGGTTAAGTCCAGTTTCATTGTCAAAAAGTGTCCGACTTATGTGAACAACAACAATACTTTGTAAATGGTATGCTTGCTTTAGTAATGAATATATTACATTTGAACTTGAATTCCCTCCTATTGCAGCATAAATAAAAGCTAAAACGTATTATTACGTATTACAAACCAAATTCTGTAGATATAAAAAAGAATAAAAATGCTTTAGCCCAGAAATCTTCCTCTGTTTATAAATTATTATAAAGTGAAGTTTTACTCAACGTAAATATGAGTCTTAGGATTATATTTTATTAATAAATAGAATATGATGTTTCCTTACCCAGGCACATGGTAAGGCTCCTTTGGTCCGTTTTCACAAATATCTCCATCCTAGAATACAAGTTGAATAATGGGTAAAATTGTGTCACAGTTAATACACTATATCTTACTACTGTATAGGGAAATTAGAGAAAGGAGCATGTTACAGTTGTGGGACTCCATAACATTGGACACACAATAATAATAAGTCACAAAACATGTATAGTACCAAATATTTCATCCTATTATAGGGATTCTTTAGAGTGTTTAAGAGAAATTTCTAGGGATTAAGAAAGATTGCAACAAGCCCACGGGCCTTGGTTTTAAGAATTTTATGTGAGGATCGCAAGCTCTGAGAAAGAGATCAACTTTCTTTACAACTCAAACCTTTGTTGAAAAAGTTGTTGGTGGAAGTGTAATATTCAGAATTTTGTGTATAGTGTTTTAAGGTTTTGTGGTATTTGTACTATGTTAACTAGGACTCTTTATCAAGGGTCAAATTTGCAGCTGCTATCCTCAACAAAAAATTCCTAAAATCTTTTTGAGGGTATGTTTGATTTATTACTAGCTAATTAGGCCCCGTCTACTATTCCTATCTGCTGCAAAATTTCACTCAATTTTAAAAGGCTTCTTATATTACTTGGTTGTTTTAAGTATTAAGATCACATTGGTTATTTGATGACTTACGGGTGTTTCAAACAGATGCTGCTCATAGCTTCCAACGCAAGGGACTCTGTCTCCATGAGACTGATGGCTGCTCGCAAGTCCATTGGTATCAGGATGTCGAGTTGATTTGGGTTTGCAGCATTCGTTTAGTTTACCAGCTTCGACTTCACTGAATGTAACAGCTTTGTTTGTATAGGCTGCAGTCACACTGAAAAAATTATACAACAGTTATACATTTTTAGTTTATTTAATTTTTTGATTTGGTCACCTCTATGCAAATTAACCTAGCATTTACCCGCCCACTGGTCTGTGTGTGGACATATCCAGCAAAACAATGGGTTGTAGGCCTATAGTACAAAATGAATTGTACTGATAAAATATATTAATGCGGTTTAGGACACAAACCCACAAAACTTTACATGGATTCGTAGTCTGTTGCTCTACCAACTAAACCACCGACTCATCAATAATTTAAATATTGCTAAAGCCCCCCATACACGCGGGCGAGCATGTTCGCGAGCGCATTGACGGTGTTGGCGACGAACATGCTCGCCCGTGTGTGGGATCCGTCACGGCGAGCATGTTGGGCTCGGCGCTCGGCTCGTCGGACCTGGCGAGCCTGAACACGAACATGCTCGCCTGTCTGTGGGGACGACCAATATGTTCGAGAGTATGTTCGTCGCTCCAACTAGGGTAGAGATAGGATAAATGATTCCATCGATGTAGCCGCTACTATGATTCCTGTTACACTCGTGGACTCATTACAAGTAACCGTTCCGATTCCAAACGATTACTTCGTTACCGCCATTACAAAGTAGCCGCAATAGACAGATTGCACTTGTAATCATCATGGTGTTGATACTCTGATGTATTCCAGATACAGTAATAGATTTAGAATCAATGTTTAAAGAAGCTAAATAAATATTTATTTATTTGTGTTTGTAACGCAATAAATACAAATGTAAATGAGTTTCCAAAATAGAGGGTTCATCAATTACAATTTGTATATTATTACAGAAATGTGTACTATCAATTCTGTAGTAAATTGTCACAATTAAATAATTCTAAGAAAGGCTAGAATAAGCAAAACTACGAGAAATGTTATTGTACAACAATGGAATTTTAACCAACATTATTTTCAAACCATAGCGGATGAATTTAATCCGATAACTTAAGACCTGGCACACACGGTTGATTTGTAGATCGACCGATTACAAAATCGGCCAAAACAAAATCGCCCCTGATTTATGTCTAATAAATAATGCGTATGTTGAAAAAAAAATAAATGCTGTAATTGCAGCAAAAAAGCAGGAGTAGGCTAAATACACAAAACTTGACTGTCACAGAGCACAAGAAAAGCAAGAATAGGCCTAGGAACCGCTACCGAGCGACGAGCATGTTCGCGAGCATGCTCGTCCGTCTGTTGGAAACGCCAAGCATGTTCGTGAGCATGCTCGTCCGTCTGTTGGCAACGCCGAGCATGTTCGCCAACATGCTCGCCCGTGTATGGGGGGCTTAACAGTTGAAAGATATTATATGTTTGGGTTTAGTCATCTTTTAAAAACCCCTTTATAAAGTAAAAACAAGAATAACAAAAACAACAGCAGTACCACATTTTTTATAACTTACCTATTCGATTGATTGTTTCCTCCGCACGTGCCACACATTTTGGATTTTTGATCTGGACTGTAATTGGTGTGTATTGCGGTGTTGGATGTGTGTGGGTGTGTGAGTAAAAAGTACTGGTACATGAAATTATTTATAATTTGTTGCTAAGATATATAAGTGCATATTAATAGGGATGTTATGCTCTTTACCAAAGCAAATTTAGTTCATGTCAATGTTTTGTTTTAATGTAGGCTAATTAAAAGTTTGAAATTAAGACTTCATTCAAATAGTATTAGTAGTTCATTACTGTAATCATTCAATAGAATTTATGGGAGCAATTTGTGATCATTAAGCCTTTAAGTACTTTTGCAATATAGTAAGTTAGCTTTGTGCCATTCAATTATTTTGATGATCCTTATGTTTCTCATACACGCTCAGGTCTAATTATCCTTCAAAACAGTTAAATGTTACTAAACATTATTTCAATTCTATAAAACTGATTTAAATTTGTAGTGTAACATGACTACAAAAACAAACTTTACAGAGAATCCATCAGGATGGTAAAAGAAAAAGCCAAAATATCTGGAAATAACTTAGTAATAAAATAGTCCAATTTACCTCAAATACAAAGCGTCAAAGAGCGATGTTAAAAAATAAGCTAACTTTGTTGAGTCAAGAAGTATGGTAGAGATGAAACATTCAATGTTACACATTAGTGGTGTCTAGCACTATTTGGTGGTGTCTTGGGAAAAGTCCAACACCTCTCGCCCTCATGTACTCAACTCTAATGGTGGAGAAAGACCCTGTGCCATGTGCGATGGGATTCCTGCACTGTTCACATACCAGTTGCTATTAAGAGTTATCAATTAATGATGTTGTCTAAGGAAAAGACTGATGTTAGTAAAAAGAGCAGGGTTTGGACCGTTCCCTTACAAAAGACATTTGAAATGCCAAGTCATATTCACAAGATATTAAAATATACCTAACAACAAAATAATGTGCTAATAAAAGTTATAGATAAAAAAACAGAAATACATGGATGATTTTTATTAGGCTTCATATGTGACATGTGTTTATTGTGAAGTAATCAACAGCTTTTGAAAAGAGGGTGTTTGTAGCCTTGACATTCGATCGTTACCAAGGGGAGGGGAAGCTTAGGACAGTCCACCAACTGGAAGAAAAATTAAAATAAATGCCAAAAACTAAATATTATGAAGTCGGAGATTGGAATTGTTCTCTAACACTTGGTTTGAAAAACGTTTAAATCACAACTAATACCAAACAGATAAGAAAATCTTAACAATGAAAACTGCATGTTAATATTTTGTGTTCAAAAAGTTTCTAAATTACCATTCGATCCCTTAAACTTCGTGGTCTTCTGGTTCCCTTCAACAGTTGCACCTCTTGCTCAAGTCGACTTCTTGCTGCAGCTCTCCAAGCATCACTTGCTCCGAAGTCTTCATCAGGTTGCTGCAAGATTTGAGAAAAAATGTATATCTATTAAATGTAATACTGAGCTATTCAATTACGTGTAACTTGGTTAAAGCACTTTGAAGTTGTAAATAGAATTGAGTTGATCAACTCATTTAATTCTGTCTAGAGTGTAAGTGTTTCATTTCAAATAGCCTTCAACTAGGGAAGTGCAAAATGTAATTTTCTATTTTATGTTTAAAGCCAAGCTAAAACTTTTTCTAAGCTCTGGAGTTTCAAGCTATCTAAGTTTACTGTTTGGTAAAGTAATTTGGCTACCTTAACATTATCAGCCCGGTGCGCTATCCACTACACCACCGACTCACCGAGACCGATGGCTGAACAACGTATCATTGCGGTAATAGTGTTCGCTCGAGCGGTGTTGGGCGGTGGCGGTCTGTCGGGAAGGATTACTGTTGTTTTGTACATTGTGAGATTTTATATAAACAGTTTCTATTCAGATTATTATTAAAAGAATTGCAGTATTGTATCAGTGAAATATTTATTTCTTGTAGTTTATAGTAATAGTAGGGAAAACACGATTTTAATAGCATCCAAGTTTATTTCGTACACCTTGACTGTCTGATCAATCCAATGAGTATGTTCTTTGTACTCCATGTCTCCTTACCTGATATCCTTAATTATTGTAGGCTACTGTTTTTAATTACACAAGTGAACAGTTTGAAATGTGACCCATGGCCAGATTAGGACACAAAATTTCTCAAACTTGATTGATTTCCAATCCAAAATAGAAATCCTGCTTTAACTGCATGCTGGATTAACTGATCCTGAAAAGTCCAACGCTACAAAATTAAAACACTTAAGGCACTTACTGAGTTAAACATCCGAGATAGAGCCAGCTTATTAGAGTGGGTAACTTTAGGGTCGCACATCGCAACATGAGTTGCCACTCCGAAACTCTTACCCACACGATATTGCACGTCCGGACATGTCCCTGTGTAGCTGAAAATGAAGTGAACTTAATGACAACAGAAACCAAGCGTGTAACTTAATTTTCTCGTCAAAAATGAGTGCATGATATTACTAAATTTGTTAAACATGAACTTATTTTAGGTGGTGTAAAGGACTTGAAACTAACAGATTTTTTTAAATTTCCTAGATGGTAAATAGATTTTTTACTAACCCTTTGAGTGCCAACGTCCGGGGAACCGGACGTTTTTAAAACGAGCCAAAAGTGCCGACGTCCGGCCGACCGGACGTTTTTAGAACGAGCCAAAAGTGCCAACGTCCGGCTGACCGGACGTTTCGTAATGATCGAACAGTTGTCATAACAACCGAATGGATACTCGGATTCTTTTAACCCATATATTAACATTGAGTCGAAAGTTACTAGATGCGATACATCGATTTTCGTTGGTCGAAATATCGAAAATTCGATTTTTACGAAATTTTAACCTAAAAATCGCCAGATCGCGCTCGGCATTTTTAGCGCGACCTTCGGGAAAAATCATCGGCATTTTTTGAGCGTTACTTTTATTTCTCGCCTGGCACTCTAAGGGTTAAGTTATTCATATGGTTAGTTTCAAATTACATAAAATAGAGTCATTTTATAATGTCCACGACATGACATTCTGTATTTAAATTTAAAAAAACAAATATTCATATACATACCCTGGTATATGGTAGGGCTGAGGAATTTCACCATGTCTGAAACAATCAAATCAGTGGCTTTATTCAACAAAGAGTAGTTAGTTATTGAAGATGCAATGACTATGACTAATAAATTGATCATTTACTAAACTTATGTTCACAAAATATACATTTCAAGCAAGATGCATATCACGTCATAAATTGAATAAACAATTAATGTTTGAAATATTATTATATACAATGCAAATGTTCCTCAAATGTAGGTACAGTATTATTAAAATAAAAAATTAGCTACATCTGTTTTCCAAGATATAAAACTTACTCTGAAGCCATGAATAGTTAGTTTATTATGTCCAGGATAGTATAAAAAAATTGTAAATGTGTTGTGTGTTGAACAAAAGACAAAAAGGTAACCTATGTAAGTATTTATTGTTGTGTTGTATTGTGGGTGAATGTTGTATTGTATAATTTTAAGATAAAAAAAATGAACAAATAATAATGGTTTTCAACTGTTTAGCTTTAAAGTCAAATCATATGTTTTCTGTTTTTTTTTTTATCTTTGCTTTTCAGCAGGCTTAAATAGTTTATCATGTAACATTATTGGGATCGAGTTCGCGATAGAGATAAGGCATGGCCACTTTTATCTCCAGGCCACAGCCTTCGAAATGGCAACGTCGCAAGTAGGGTTGTAACAGCTGTTTTGTTTGGAAGTAGCTAATGGTACTTGTGTATATACGAAAGCTTGGTTACTGAACTATGAAAATACTGAACCCGCATATATGTTTATAAATTTAAATTAATAATACCCTACAAGAATAAACTGGGCAACAAAATCTCAACCCAAGTGTCGCCCAGTTAACATGTTATTTCATGCCCTGGAATGCTGTCGTGCTAAGCTGTTACTTGTTGTAATGATTCTTTTTTAAATTAACTATTCATGGATGTACAGGGAAAACCCATAGATTATAACCCATGGATATAACATAATCCTGGTTAGTCTATGATTAAACATAATCCCTTAAAACTGAAGCCATGCCATTTAGCCATGGAATTTTAGTGTACTTCATAAGTCATTTATTTGCCAAATTAACAAATACAATTTGCTTTAGCTATGTCAACACAATTCAATACCATACACTGAATACAAATCAGCAACTTATAATGTATACCGTTATACAATAAATAAAATTAAAGGAAAAATATCTTTAACCGCCAGCCAGAAATTCACGGACAATGTACCTAACCACATCTCGAAAGCAACATGGACTTAAGTTTTCGCTTGAATCTAAGGTGGTCTTTCTCTAACTTGAGATCAATGGGTAGACTATTTAAAAGTTTAATTCTGTTGTACTAGAGGTGACGAAACAGGACGTGGAGTGTTTGGGGATTTTACAGTTAATCACGGAGCGCAAGGGATAAATACAGTGGAATGAGAGTCCAGAGTCGACATGAAACTTGGAAAGGTTTTGCCTGAGGCTGCATGGATTTTGAATAACCATAGCCAGTATGGGCTTACAAAATCTTTAAAAATAACAAAACTCTCCCGATTGTAACACCACCAACCGCCGCGCCTTCCCTCAACACCGCGCCGCCGTTCCAAACGCTTTTGATGTCATCTGTCTGGAAACGGGACAGCGGAATTTGAAATGGGAACGGAACGATTTCTTCTAATCACCGAACCAAGCGTTCATTAACAAATACTGATAGGAAAGGAACGAAGTACACTAGCCGTTTAGTGTTAAATAGGTCTAAATAATGTGTAATTAATTATGAATTATTTCTAGAATAATTATTACAAATTACTAATATGTAGCCTATATCCCTCCGAGTGTCACGCGTCATAAAAACGACGCACAACACACTTTGTGTAGGGTCACGCGTCGCTTTTAAGACGCACAAACATCGTTTACGGCGAAGGCTCTATGACTGACTGAATCGGATTGAACTGGATCGAGTTAGGTATCGTTCTTTCCGTAATATTCTAAGCTTTCTCCAGAGGTCTGTCTCTAAGCGCTATTCATTTTAGTTCCGAAAATATTGTAGTAGACAGCTGATGTGCGTGTATTTGTAAACAGCTAGGTTCCCCCGGACCGATGACTGATGTGTTTTATTACGTTTATCATTGTTTTAGTGTTAAAAATCAAAAGTAGTGATATACGTGGTGCATTATAAGAAGATTTAAGTGGTTTTGAAGTGCTGGTTGATGATCCTGAAGAAGTAGGTAGTGATATTGATGTAAATTATCAGCCAGATTCCTAGCTATGGTTAGGCTATGCATTCTTAGCTAAACGCTATGTACTGAAATCCGTTTTTCGCTCATAACTTATTTATTTGATAACTTACCTCGCTATATGATTATATATTTGTAATCCTCATTAAATTTAGAACAAAGTGGCTATTTTCAAATATTTATAGGCCTATAATTTATACAATTTCATTGAGCGCAAACTTATTTTTTTTTTGAAAATTTTCGAAATTATATTTTTTTTTACCTAAAAATTTTTTTTTTGAAAAAATGTTCCTTATGTTTTATATATAATATTGAAGCCCATGATTTTCCAAACAAAATGGTATATAGAACATTAGAATTAACATTGTTTTAAGCTTCTCAGATCCGTTTTAATAAAACCTTGCAAAGGGGCCAAAAATAGGTGGACATTAAGGCCTAAACTATGGACACTCGGAGGGATATAGGCTAAGTCAAAATAAACAATAGTTAAATTGATATCGTAGGTTAACTGTTTCACTTTTTATTTCCATTCTTTAAATACAGTTCATCAAAAAATAGGAAGAAAAGCGTATTAAAATGCCATATAAATAGTAACATACCTTACGTTAATGAATGAAGTTCTTCAAATCTATTTCTTCTAATCCAAAATATAGGTACTATTATAATACATTCATTTATTTACATTCTATTTACAATATTTGCAACCGCCTTCATCTTGGAAACTGGAACAACAAAATTAAAATTAACATTACAATTCTTAATTCTTTAGGCCTATTCTTGATGTGAATCTTGTCTATTATGTTTATTTTTGTTTGTTTGTCACAAAGTTGCTTAGCATGGGGAATGTTTGTAGGTAAAGTTAAAATTACTGTAGTAGCCTACAGTATACTAATAATATTTAAATTTATTGACATCTATTACATTCCCTTTCATCTTGGAAACTAAAAAAAATTAACAAAACAATTTGGCTATTTCAAATGAGGAAATATCTTAGTGTGAATTTTGTTTAGACCTAGGCCTATTTTGTTTATTTGCCACAAAGTTATAATATAAAGCTTGGGATATGTTTGTGGGTACTGGTATCTGTGGGGTATCTGTGTGTGTGCTTAAGTTCAAAAACTTTTATTTCAGTAGGCCTAAAAGATTTAGCCATAACACAATAACTATAATACACAATAACTTAAATGTGAACTACAAGAATTTTAACTTGGAGAATAATAATGTGCCTGTTAATTGCAATTTCATTTCATTTAATAATTAATAATTTATTATTATTAATACTAAAGTTAATACAATAAATTAATCACTGTTTGTTTATTAGTAGTATTAATATTATTCTTATTACTAGCCTACCTGGTTAGCGACTAGTTGACCCTGCACCAAGCAATGTCGTCATTGCAATGTTTCCTGCCTCTGCTAATGTAGGCTGGGTTCTTAGGTGTTTTTTCATTTTGTTGTTAGTTGAAAAGAACCGCCTTTGAGGCACGATTCTCATTTTTGTTTTGCTTTTAATTTGTAAGGCAATTTTCCTCTGCTTGAGGGAAGTCAACTTTGCATCTAGGTTTTTCAGGCATTGTTTAGCTACTTTTAAACCCTCCGGGTTGTGAATTTGATTTAAAATTGACTCAACTTGTTGTCTTAGTAGAAGTTTGTCAGTAGGTCTCACTTTTGTGGGCAGAACAGTTTTAGTTGACACTTCTGCCAATATTGATTGTCTTTCCTCCACACTTCTGACTTCTCCCACGTTTTCTCTGACTTCACAGTTTAGGTCACAAGTGTGCCCTACATGAGTCTCGCAGTACTCTACTTCATCGGCGTGAAACTGGCAATAGAACAGCAATAACCCATTCCACTTCTCCTACCGCCCCTCCGACGAATATACGTCACAGTAAAACGTCACAACAATGATGGCGTCACAGCAGGATTCGTCATAGAGTAGACAACATAACCTCCAAAATATCAAGAGGCGGGAATTTTTTTTTGCGAAACACGGCCAAGATGGCGTTTGGCGGTACACGCACAGCGTTGATTATGAAGGTTAAGTAATATATATGTATAAAACTGTACAATACGTTGAATGAAATTAAACTACTATTTCATTATTTAGAGAATAAAGAACAATATTAAACACGTTTGAGGTTATTTTAAGTAGTAACCACCTCGAATTTTTTCCAAATGATAAAATTATTAGCTGACTACCATAAAAACCTATTGCTGGCGATTCCCCTTAAATTTTTCTTCGGTTTTTCTTTTGATACGCGTTAAACACATGATTATGAAAAAAAAATTACCTCTTCTAGGTTAGCCCACTCTTTAGTAGTGTAGCTATGTATCCTGGAATGCACTTCGTGTGACCTCGGTTGCACGCCGATGCTATTACAAAAATGTATATTCTAAATGTCTATTTACATTATTTATCTGGTATCGAACAACACTAGGCACTTTTAAGCTTATTAATGTAGAAATCACCTTGATATTAATACAAACTAATAAACTACCTAAAATTACTAACTAATTATCGTAAAAACCTATTGCTGGCATCTCCTATTAAATGTTTTTCTCGTTTTCCTTTTGATATGTGTTAAACACATTGTTATGAACATAAAATGACGTAGTATAGGTTAGCCCACTTTTTAGTAGTGTAGCTATGCAGCCTGGAATGGACCTTATAGTAGAATAATAAATTACCATAAATTTCTATTGCTGGCCTATCCCTTTGGCACGATTTCCTTTATTCTTTCAAAATATGTTTATTACATCATTACGAACTAGAAAACTCGTCGCCTAGGTTCGTACACTCCTTTATAGTTGAGATAGGTAACTTTGAATTAAACAGGTGTGACCTCGGTTCCATATGAACCTAACTTACCAAAAATCACTTTATTTCGTTTATACATGTTAGTTACACCTTAATAAACAATACCTAACACCATTTCGATAAAAAATATTATTATTTATCAATTTAATGCATTATTTAAAATCTGCCTCAGTAGAACAATAAATTACCACAAATTTCTATTGCTGGCCTATCCCTTTGGCACGATTTTCTTTATTCTTTCAAAATATGTTTATTACATCATTACGAACTAGAAAACACGTCGCCTAGGTTCGTACACTCATTTATAGTTGAGATAGGTAACTTTTGAATTAAACAGGTGTGACCTCGGTTCCATATGAACCTAACATACTAAAAATCAACTTTTTTCGTTTATACATGTTAGTTACAC